AGGTCGATCAATAAATATCAGGCGACAGGACATGAAAGCTGAAACTACAAGGATGGGCTTCATCGGGGAATGGCACAGGACAGAGGACTCTGGAGATCTTTGGTTGGGGGCCCATGCCCCAGCAGGACACAGGACTTTGGAGATCTTTGGTTGGGGGCCCATGCCCCAGCAGGACACAGGACTTTGGAGATCTTTGGTTGGGGGCCCATACCCCAGCAGGACAGAGGACTCTGGAGATCTTTGGTAGGCGGCCCATACCCCAGCAGGACTTGAGATCTTTGGTTGGCGGCCCATACCCCAGCAGGACAGAGGACTCTGGAGATCTTTGGTTGGCGGCCCATACTCCAGCAGGCCAGAAAATTCTGGAGATCTTTGGTTGGCGGCCCATACCCCAGCAGGACATGAGATCTTTGGTTGGCGGCCCATACCCCAGCAGGACTTGAGATCTTTGGTTGGCGGCCCATACCCCAGCAGGACTTGAGATCTATGGTTGGCGGCCCATACCCCAGCAGGACAGAGGACTCTGGAGATCTTTGGTTGGCGGCCCATACCCCAGCAGGACTTGAGATCTTATGTTGGCGGCCCATACTCCATTAGTGGTGACGGGCAGCGATGGTGTAATATGTAGGCTAGTGGGTTAGAGTTAGTATTTCAAGCGTAAACTCCCACCTCTAACGCCCCCTAACTTTAACTCCCCCATTGATCCTAACCCACCCACGCGTTACCTAAAAAAGTGGATCTTGCTTTGAACAACAAACCCAGTCTCCCACTTCAACAACTCACTGTGCGGTGACGCAATCAATACTCCGCCGAAGGGAGCCAACTCTATTATATGAATTCAATAGTTGTCGTTCTTTTGATCCCGCTGTTACGGTCGCTCACCCCTCAGCAAACCACGGGCCGTTCCTTTCCCCTCCCTCTGGGATTTTTTTTTCTTTTTCAACCTGTGAAAATTCCTGAGAGGTTTTTAGTTGTTGTTGCTGTTGTTATTTATTAATGTTGTTCTTTTGTTATGCAAATGAGTTGATTTGACCTAGCGGTTTTATTTAAATGAGGCTGGTTTGGTGAAAATGATTACAGTAATGTGTAGGAATTGATTGATCGTGTTGTGTTGGTGGTAGGTTTATGTGAGTCATTGTGGTAGGTTTGTGTGAGTCATTGTGGTAGGTTTGTGTGGGTTATTGTGGTAGGTTTGTGTGGGTTATTGTGGTAGGTTTGTGTGGGTTATTGTGGTAGGTTTGTGTGGGTTATTGTGGTAGGTTTGTGTGGGTCATTGTGGTAGGTTTATGTGAGTCATTGTGGTAGGTTTATGTGGGTTATTGTGGTAGGTTTGTGTGGGTTATTGTGGTAGGTTTGTGTGGGTTATTGTGGTAGGTTTGTGTGGGTTATTGTGGTAGGTTTGTGTGGGTTATTGTGGTAGGTTTGTGTGGGTTATTGTGGTAGGTTTGTGTGGGTTATTGTGGTAGGTTTGTGTGGGTTATTGTGGTAGGTTTGTGTGAGTCATTGTGGTAGGTTTATGTGGGTTATTGTGGTAGGTTTGTGTGGGTTATTGTGGTAGGTTTATGTGGGACATTGTGGTAGGTTTATGTGGGTTATTGTGGTAGGTTTGTGTGAGTCATTGTGGTAGGTTTGTGTGGGTTATTGTGGTAGGTTTGTGTGGGTTATTGTGGTAGGTTTATGTGAGTCTTTGTGGTAGGTTTGTGTGGGTTATTGTGGTAGGTTTGTGTGAGTCATTGTGGTAGGTTTGTGTGGGTTATTGTGGTAGGTTTGTGTGGGTTATTGTGGTAGGTTTATGTGAGTCTTTGTGGTAGGTTTGTGTGGGTTATTGTGGTAGGTTTATGTGGGACATTGTGGTAGGTTTATGTGGGTTATTGTGGTAGGTTTATGTGGGTTATTGTGGTAGTTTTTTGTGAGCCAGTGTAGTGAGTTATGGTGGTAGGTTTGTGTGAGTCATTGTAGTAGGTTTTTGTGACTCACATTTTGTCTCAGTTGTGGGCTGGTGTTGTTGTTTCCAGTTGGGAGCTGATGTTGTTGTTGCAGTTGATGGATGGTGTTGTTGTTGCAGTTGGGGGTTGGAGTTGTAGTTGCAGTTGGGGGTTAGTGTTGTTGTTGCAGTTGGTGGTTGGTGTTGTTGTTGCAGTTGCCAGTAGTTATTGTGACCAATCATTGAAGCAACTACAGTTTCGTTAATTAATGGTAACTTAAGTAGCATCAAAAGCGATGCCACTCTTATACTGCTATTACCCTAAGTTTATATGCATATATATATATATATATATATATATATATATATATATATATATATATATATATATATATATATATATATATATATATATATGTGTGTGTGTGTGTGTGTGTGTTTGTGTGTGTTTATGTATCAATATATATAAATTTTAATGTTTTTGGAAGTTATAAACACAATAACACCTTTAGTGATTCGGTAAGCAGAATGAAATACATGAAGGTTTGCATACAACTATGCAATTAATATACAATATTTAACACAATTTCTGTAGCAAACTTTCAACTGGAGTAAGACAATCTAAGTTGTTAACGTTTTGTTTATCGAACCCAATCCGGTGTAAGCTTAAAATCTCACACGTTTTAGTTTACCGTATTGTCAGCTAATGACCGATTTGCGCCAAGTCAAGGTGACCTGAGGTCGACCCTACCTCACGGCCCCATTAAGTATAGCCAGGTGAGAGGTGCCAGAGTTTTTGACGTGAACAGTCTAATTATAAAGGGAGAGAACAAAGTAGTCAGGGGGGATAAGGGGGTGGGGGGATTTGTTTAGTTTAGATTTAGTGCTGTAGCTTGTAGGCGACACGACAACGGCGTTGGGCTAACCAATTCCTTGTGAAAACAGTCACATAGATTGGTAGACGTAATTAATTAGCACGTGTTAAGGTCGAGGTTTTAAAAATAGGTGGCGGTGTTTTATTCTGCTGCAAGTTACAAATCTGTCGAGCTGCTGGTTTGTTTATCAACCGTTCAGGGAAAAAACGCGACCTTCAGGTCTGAACTTGGGGGCATTTACGTCTTCCAGGGGTTACTGATCCATAGGACCAGGACTTCACAGGACCAGGACTTTACTGCTCCATAAGACCAAGACTTCACTTCTCCATAGGACCCAGACTTCATTGCTCCATAGGACCCAGACTTTATTGCTCCATAGGACCCAGACTTCATTGCTCCATAGGACCAAGACTTCATTGCTCCATAGGACCAAGACTTCATTGCTCCATAGGACCAAGACTTCATTGCTCCATAGGACCAAGACTTCATTGCTCCAATAATACAAAGACTTCATTGCTCCATAGGACCAAGACTTCACTTCTCCATAGGTCCAAGACTTTACTGCTCAATAGGACATAGAATTTACTGCTCCATAGAACCAATACTTCACTTCTCCATAGGTCCAAGACTCAGGAACACTGGGATAAAATCAAGTCAAGACTTACTATCCCACGAGTTTAAATTATTTCAATCCTTGCATTAAAAACGGCGCAAAACAATTTTTCATGTGAGCAGTGGCGGAGCGAGGTCGGGTGTCACCCGGTGCGGCACTTAATGGTGTCACCCCCTCAGAGGCGTAGCGACTCTTCCCGGGTACAAACTTTCAATTTTCGATTTGCACCCCCCCCCTCAAACTTTCGATTTGCTCCCCCCCTTCGAACTTTCGATTTCCAACCCCCCCCCCTCAAACTTTCGATTTGCATCTCCCCCCCCCCTCAAATTTTTCTCTATATATTTTACTATTTTTGCCTTGGTGTCACCCCCCCCCCCCTAAATGGTGTCACCCGGTGCGGTCCGCAACCCCCCCCCTCGCTACGCCTCTGCGTGTGAGCAATAAGCAAGGCAAAGCGCGTGTAAGTAGGTTTCTAACTCACAACGTAGGTGTGAGTAGGTTTAGAACCTACAACCTTGGCCAACGATGATTGCGTATAACGAGGGAAGGGGTGCATGATGTAACACGTAAAATCTCTCCCACTGGCTACAGAAATACGGTGAGTCCAGAGGCGTAGCGACCCTTCCCGGCGCCCGTCGACAAACTTTTAATTTGGCGCCCCCCCCCACCGGTGACGAAGTTTCAATTTGGCGCCCCCCCCCCCCCCCCCCCCACATATTTTAAAATATTTATAATGCAAAACTGCATCTAAAATGAGCTTTTAATTTTTTTTCAAACCCACTTTGGCCCCCCCCCCCCCTAGGGTCGGCGCCCGCGGACATATGTACCCCCCTCGCTACGCACCTGCGTGAGTCTGCGCCTGATCACAAGGTCATATTGAAATACAGTGACTACTCCCCCTGTACGGCTGATCACCAGATCTCCTACGGAAATACTTATACCCTTCTCTAGCGCCTGGATTTCCGACATCGTGGAGTCACGTGACGCTGCCACGTGACCGGAGCAAATAATGGGCGTGGCCTTTTGATCATGTGACGCAGTCACGTGTCATCTAACATGAAGTGATTATCTTGTAATCAAATCACACGCAGCGTTTTGACTGCGACAAACACGAATAGCCGGGGAAAGGTAGAGTCAACTCTGGTAAAAACAGTTAAATATAAAAACAGTTAAATATTAAAACAGTCAAATATAAAAACAGTTAAATATTAAAACAGTTTTTTTTTTTAAAAGTCAAATATAAAAACAGTTAAATTTAAAAACAGTTCAATATGAAAACAGTTAAATACAACAAAAAAACAGTTAAATATAAAAATAATTAATTATAAAAACAGTCTAATATCAAAAAAGCAAAAAAAAGAAAAAACCCCAGTCAAATATAAAAACAGTCAAATAAAAAAAAAAAAGTTAAATAGAAAAAAAAGTAAAATAGAAAAACAGTTAATTATAAAAACAGGCAAATATAACAGTTAAATAACAGAGAAGCTATGATGAAATGAGCTTCTACTTGTTTAGCTGTACACACTTTATAGTAGAGCCGGCACAACTAGGTAATGTAAGTCAAGTAGTTTAAGACCTGATGATCCTTATGGCAGGTGAAGTAGAGGTGCTCTGTTTCTATGACCTTGGCATAAGTAGGGATATTGACAAGTTTGTTGAAGTGACAGTTTTATAACTTAGAAATTTTACAACTTTTAAATGAAGGTGCAACTAGGTCTTGCAGCTAAGACGGTGTGTTGATGTGATTCCCAAAATTTACTTTAAAATTACAGGCGTCAGATTGTCGAAGTGGGTGTTGAGGGAAGGTTGGGTGTATTAGATATGTAAAATTATATGAGGGAGGGGAGGGTGGGTGTATTAGATATGTAAAATTATATGAGAGAGGGGACGTTGGGTGTATTAGATATGTAAAATTATATGAGGGCCGACCTAAGACAAAATATGACGTAATATGTGTGTTGTGGGGGGGGGAGGGTAAAAATGTCATAAATTTACTGTAGCCTAATCTCGCATCCACAGCTCCATCCACAAATCCATCCACAACTCCATCCACAGCTACATCCACAACTCCATCCACAGCTGCACCCACAACTTCATCCACAACTCCATCCACAACTCCATCCACAACTCCATCCACCGCTACATCCACAACTCCATCCACAAATCAATTCACAACTACATCCACAACTACATCCACAACTCCATCCACAACTCCATCCACAAATCCATCCACAAATCCATCCACAACTACATCCACAACTACATCCACAACTCCATCCACAGCTACATCCACAACTCCATCCACAGCTGCACCCACAACTCCATCCACAACTCCATCCACAACTCCATCCACAACTCCATCCACAGCTACATCCACAACTCCATCCACAAATCCATTCACAACTACATCCACAACTACATCCACAACTCCATCCACAACTCCATCCACAAATCCATCCACAAATCCATCCACAACTACATCCACAACTACATCCACAACTACATCCACAACTCCATCCACAATTCCATCCACAACTCCATCCACAACTTCATCCACAATTCCATCCACAACTCCATCCACAGCTCCATCCACAACTACATCCACAGCTCCATCCACAACTCCATCCACAACTCCATCCACAACTTCATCCACAGCTCCATCCACAACTCCATCCACAACTTTATCCACAGCTCCATCCACAGCTCCATCCACAACTTCATCCACAGCTCCATCCACAACTCCATCCACAACTTCATCCACACCTTCATCCACAGCTCCATCCACAGCTCCATCCACAGCTCCATCCACAACTCCATCCACAACTTCATCCACACCTCCATCCACAGCTCCATCCACAACTTCATCCACAGCTCCATCCACAGCTCCATCCACAACTCCATCCACAACTCCAACCACAACTCCATCCGCAACTCCATCCACAAATCCATCTACAACTCCATCCACAACTACATCCACAATTTCCATCCACAACACCACCAACATGTGTTCCGACTTGAAATACATATTACCTTCCTTGTTGATAAAACGTCCCCAAAGTTTAACGCTTTGGCTCAAACAAAATTAACGTATCACCAGCTATAACCGACAGGGCCAACCAAACATATTATGTCATTCCCCAAGACGCCGGCACCCCCAGTGATAAACGCCCCGGGGCTGCGAATTCCCTCCCCCGGGCGGCGTTGTCCCGCACCCGGACACGCCAATCGTGAAATAATGAAACCGGCGGGGTGACGCGCCATCTAGCGGCTGTCAAAAGATGAATGAGCTGGGCTCATATCAAGGGCCCACAACTCTCGTGTACCTGCAAAACTTGTCTAAATAAAGGCGCTGCTATCAAGTGTAAGGGGCAGGTAATCACTTTGTCGTTTGTTAAATGCTATATGGAGAGAGGAACTCGAATTTGACACAATCATTTGAAATTTGGTGAATTTAATTTGCCTTTCAACGTGTCTGAAATTACTTTTTTTTTTAATTTCCAAAAAATGTGCGAGAATTAAATATTAATTAAGGTACTAGTCAATTAGCCAGACCTATCCACACCCATAAGTACAAAACTAGCAAGTCAGTCCTAGCTACAGCCATAACTTTAAAAAAAAGTCAGCCATAGGAATAGCCATTACAACAACAACAAAAAGTTGTTCATAACAAAAAAAAAAACTTCAACAAAAAGGAAGTCTCTGGTTACATTCTAGGAGTTAAAGTATCGTTATCAGCGATTTCCGATACTCGGATTTTTCGGACGGCTAATCAATAGGACCAATATGAATGTGCTACGTGCCGTTTCCCTACGAAATGCAACTTTCAGTGGGGCAAAAAGGGTTTGTTTTAAATTTAGTTCCTACAATTTTAAATGTCGACGTTTTTTAATAAGACTGTAATGAACAGGGAATCTAGAAAAAAATGTCAAACCGCTGAGGGAATAAGTGGTGCATGGCCAAAACCTTCAAAGGGAAAAAAGCAACGGCGTCTTGGAGATGGTGGACAAATCCCCCCCCCCCCCTTTAGACTATAGAGTCACAGGGATGGATGGTCAGATGGGTAGGTGGTAGGATAGGTTGACTGACAGACGGATGAACGGACGGAAGAACGGACCGATGGATGGAATTGTGTATTTAACTTGCACAACTTCCTGATAGTTGTAGTGTGGACGGGATTTCCTCCAACACAATTCAATCTTGCAACAGGTTATGCGACATATAGACCCTCGACTCAGATTTCAGTCTGCTTTTTTTTTTTAATTTATTTCCATAGCCTTTATGCTACCAAGAACAAACTACAAGGCCGTAGTCGTTTGATATGCACAGCTAAGTCATCTAATCCTTGATGGTAGTCTTACAAGTCTAGTGGTGGAAACACACTGACAGACACAGAAGCACACAGACACACAAACAAACATACGCACATAGACACACACAAACACGCGCACATAGACAGACACACACAAACACACGCACAAAGACACACACAAACACAGGCACAAAGAAACACACAGAAACACAGAAACACACGCACATAGAAACACACAGAAACACACGCACATAGACAGACACTCAAACACACGCACATAGACACACAAACACACGCACAAAGAAGCACACAGATACACACAAACACGCGCACATACACAGACACACACGAACATAGACACACAGACACACGCACAAACACACGCACAAAGAAGCACACAGATACACACAAACACGCGCACATACACAGACACACACAAACACAGACACACAAAGAAACACATAGACACACACACCGTTTTAAAAACTGGTGGTTAAGACAAGAAAATAAAATTGTAAAACCGTAATTTGAGGCACAGCAGGCGCCATAATGGAACCTGATCGATTCATGTTTGTCCTGGCGTTTGTATGTTTGTAGAATTGTATAATATTTGCTGTTTTGTTGGTAAAATTGTTCCTGTTTGTCTTGGTATTTGTATGTTTGTTGTTTGTAGAATTGAATAATGTTCGCTGTTTTGTTTGTAAAATAGTTTGCTAGCTTAGTTGTTTATTTCTTTCTTTGTTTGTCTGTTTACATTTTTCATAAATTAGTAACTGCCTCATATAAACTATTGTTATACGTTAAATCTTAACGTTATTGTTGTGGTTTTGAATTTAATAGTTCGAGTTGCGTTTGAAATTCGTGGGTTTGGTTCGGTAAGGGTTATATTAAAATAACTGATTTTATTTTGGACATTAATTGTGTTATTGTCTAATTTGTTGGATTAGGGTTAGAACTGCTACTGCTGAATCTGTTGAGTTAGAGTTATAATAGAAGAGTTGATTTTATTAGAATGTTAGTTTGATTTCGGACACTTTTGATAATACGTTGTTGGTTTCATTGGAAGTAGAGTCAAAAAAGCTTTTTTATCAGGTAACTGATTTATGTTTTTAAATAAGTTGAGCGTTAGTCACTCGTTCATATTGGTTTAGGTTTACGATTCAATAAGTTTAGCGTTAGTCACTTGTTCATATTGGTTTAGGTTTACGATTAAAGTTAATTATTGTCAGGATTTATTTGTTCGCGGTCGAGACGTTTCTCTCCGGGGAGTAATCAAAGACTTCCGCGTGAGTGTGAGCGTTCTTTAACCTCGGCATTGCCAGGCTCGAGGGAATATGGCAGCGGTTCTCAAAGAAAACCATGACGGGGCCACGATGACACCAGGCCACTGTACGGTTTGCAGGGATTTGTATAATTCAGATAAAAGAAAAGGCAGGCAAAAGAAATGAGCGCTCGGCTCCTAACCTGAAGGTCATGAGTTCGGATCCAGGGCTTGAGTCCGTAGGTCGTCACTGAGTCCATCCAGCTCTGATGGGTACCTGACTCACTGAGTCGATCCAGCTCTATTGGGTACCTGACTCACTGAGTCGATCCAGCTCTATTGGGTACCTGACTCACTGAGTCGATCCAGCTCTATTGGGTACCTGACTCACTGAGTCCATCCAGCTCTATTGGGTACCTGACTCACTGAGTCCATCCAGCTCTTATGGGTACCTGACTCACTGAGTCCATCCAGCTCTTATGGGTACCTGACTCACTGAGTCCATCCAGCTCTATTGGGTACCTGACTCACGTTAGGGAAAGTTAAGATGGCTGGGCATATTTCTGACCACATTATTATTATCCCTTCATATGCTGAAGTCACGAAAACAGGTAAACTCTACTTCATCTGACCTAAGTAAGGTTCGAAAAGGTATTATAATAGACAGTTTTTAAACCAGCCAAGTATTTGGGTTCATTGAAGCACAGAATATATTGAATATTTTAGTACTGAAGACGAATGGAGACATTATCAATAGTTTTAATACTATTGTAACGATGGAAGGGTTTGACACTAGTAGAGGTTCTAATGATGCCGGAATGGAGGATGACGATCAGAAGGACACTAGTTGCGTCACAGCGGTCAGCCTGGTCTGTCCAACAGAAGAAGACGATTTCAGATAGCAGACAATATTTTTTTTTAAAATATCAAGGCGGTGTTTGTCTAGACGCGTTTGTTAAACTCATAAACACACAGAGGCGTAGCGAGGGGGGGGGGGCGGGAGGTGCGGACCGCAACGGGTGCCACATTTAGGGGGGTGAAATGGCAAAATATATAGATATAGAGAAAAATTTGAGGGGGGGGGGGGTGCAAATCGAAAGTTTGAGGGGGGGGGGGGGTGCAAATCGAAAATTGAAAGTTTGTCGCTACGCCTCTGGGGGGTGACACCATTAAGTGCCGCACCGGGTGAGACCCGACCTCGCTACGTCACTGTAAACACATTACATAGGTGCGTTGGGTAGGGAGAAGGGGAGCCGTCGAATACATTACAGATTGATCGATGCCATAGTGTGTTCATGCCCCGGTCACCTGACCGTATCGACGAGAATTGATTGGCGCTTGAAAGGTGTCCATCACCTTCCAGAAGACCGAAAATCAATACAGCGCAGTAATGGCCGACTGTTTTTTCGCTTCGCCTGCGTCACGTGACTTCCGGTTTCCGCCACGTGGTCTTTTTTTTTTCTTCTGGCACCGTGATTGGCTGAAATCAGCAATCATGTATCAATCGCTGCCCGAATTTAGCGACAAGCTAATCAGATTTTGGGTCGGATCTTGTGTTGTGTTTAGACGACAGGTAGGGCCGTGGCAGACTGGCCAACACACTCACGCACGGGCTGTTAGGGGGGAGGGGGGGGGCGGATGTGGTAATGCTGCGCCTTACAGAAAGCACTCGTCTTGAAAAGTTTTGTCGAAATGGCCATGCGATGCCGAGGTAATTGTTCCCCGAATTGTGTTTTGTTGTTTTTTTAAGTGGGCCTGAAAACAATGGACGAACTCGGGGAATTAATCCCAGAAAAAAAAATGCCATAGAATTGCCAGGAAAACGGCAGGAAATTGGTTTTATGAGGACGGAAATATATTTATGCAGTGGGCGGGGGGAACAGGCGGCAGCCAGTGGGCTTTTATTGGTTGTCATAGTGGGCTTAATTTGGTAGTCAAGTTGGGCTTTTGTAAGGGTTGGCTTCTGTTGGTTGTTAAGTTGGGCTTTTGTTGGTTGTCAGGGTTGGCTTTTGTTGGTTGTCAGGGTTGGCTTAAGTTGGTTGTCAGGGTTGGCTTCTGTTGGTTGTCAGGGTTGGCTTAAGTTAGTTGTCAAGTTGGGCTTTTGTGGGTTGTCAGGGTTGGCTTCTTTTGGTTGTCAGGGTTGGCTTCTGTTGGTTATAAAGGTGGGCTTTTGTTGGTTGTCAGGTTTGTTTATGTTGGCTGTCATAGTGGGCTTAAGTTGGTTTTCAGGGTTGGCTTCTGTTGGTTGTCAGGGTTGGCTTCTGTTGGTTATCAGGGTGAGCTTCTGTTGGTTGACAGGGTTGGCTTCTGTTGGTTGTCAGGGTTGGCTTCTGTTGGTTGTTAAGTTGGGCTTTTGTTGGTTATCAGGGTTGGCTGTTGTTGGTTTTCGTATAGAATAGCGGATTCTGTTGTCTGTCGATTGTATTGGAGATTTCGTCTGTCAAATACCGACTCTGCCTCTTACTAAGTCTACACCTAATGCCCTCTCTGCCTCCTACTATGCCCCATTAAATGCCCTCTCTGCCTCCTACTATGCCCCATTAAATGCCCTTTCTGCCTCCTACTATGCCCCATTAAATGCCCTATCTGCCTCTTACTATACCTATGTCTACTCCCCTCTCCTACCATCGCCCTACCATCACATACCTGGGTCAATAAAACATGAACCTTGTTACACTACCATCCGATTTATAAAGACCTCTATATGTATTTTTATATGACAACTGCTGTTATTGTTATTATAAAACATACCAATATGTTTAAAAATGTTGCTGTTTGCTTAGTTCGATTATCATAATCGATAAAATATCGATACGCTCTCGAGGTTAGATTAATACCCACCATGTTACATTGATTTGTATTCAATAAATTATTGGCACCTTGTCGGAGGAATTAACAACTATATTACAACACTAATCCATTGATATTACATCATTATTACATTGATATTACAACATTATAACATTGATATTACATCGTTATTTCGATTTGATATTTCATGTTTATCATTATTTGTATAGATTAGTCTCTCTGTACTCTCCATGTCATGGTATGCTGTGTTCATTAGTATGTACCTGGTTTCGACAGGTATGCTGTGTTCATTAGTATGTACCTGGTTTCGACAGGTATGCTGTGTTTATTGATATGTATCTGGTTTCGACAGGTAGTTTATAAATAGCTTTTATTAGCTTCATTTAATGTTTGTATTTCTAATCGTATGTGTCGGGTTAGCTTATTAGAGGCCATTTTATTGGGGCGTAGACAGGAGGTGTGCTATGGGCTAGTACCCCCCCCCCCCCCCAAATAGAAGCCCAGAATGATAGCTGTATTACTTAAGTCACAGTTATTAGAGTCAGTGCTTTCATGTTGTTTTCTATGCTTTCAGTTTCAAATTTGTAAATTATATATATATATATATATATATATATATATATATATATATATATGCCCTCTAAATATAAATATATATATGTATATACATCTACGTTTATAGATATATATACATATATATTTATATATTTATATACATATATAAATAGGCTTATATACATTTTAATATATATATATATATATATATAGGCCATATATATATATATATATATATATATATATATATATATATATATATATATATATATATATATATATATATATATATATATATATTTATCGCTTATGTTATAAATATATATAAGTGTGTGTGTGTGTGTGTGTGTTTGTGTGAGTGGTGGCAGTAGCGTAGCGAGGGGGGCGGGGGGGGACATATGTCCCCGGGCGCCGACCTTAGGGGGGGCGCCAAATTGAAAGTTTGAGGTGGGGGGTGCAAATGAAAAGTTCGAGGGGGGGTGCAAATCGAAAGTTTGAGGGGGGGCTGCAAATGAAAAGTTCGAGGGGGGGGGGGGGGGGGGCAAATCGAAAATTTGCTCCCAAGGGGGCGCCAAATTGAAAGTATGTCCCCGGGCGCCGGGAAGGGTCGCTACGCCTCTGAGTGGTGGGGAAGGGGGTAATGACCCAGATTAATTTTAAATATACTTATAGCCCATAATTAAACTTTATTCATAGCCTAACGATAAAATTTAGCCTTCAACCTTAAGTAACCTACAACTTACAAGTCACCGGTCAACGACTTCCTTGTATCCCTCTAGAACTCTTGAAATCCTCGTGATATAAATTCCTGCATCAACAACACCCCCAACCCCCTAATATTGAGAACACTAGACGAAAATAGCTAAGTTTTTATAACCCCCGATCTGACCCCGTTGATAACTCAAGATTTGTATCATCGATCAACGCGCGTTTTTCAATACTGCGAGAGAAAAAAAATTTTGAAACACGGCAATAAATTTGATATAACTTTCAACTTTGACTGCAATAGTAAGGGCATACAGGGAGACAACTCTAGCAATAAATGGCCCTTGAGTTTCTGTATTGCTACTCGTGTGTTGCACGCCTGACCCCAGAGTGCAAGCACGGACATCTGCACGGAGGGTGTTGTCGTTTTACACCGGTGCAATTTTTTATTTGAAGAGCTCTTCAGGCAACCATTCGGTGGTAAATTTTTTGGCCCAGGTTTCATTGCCCACCCAAACAAGCCGGGACTTTTTACTAGTGTATACTCAGATAGCGTATAATTTGTTCAAGCAGTATTAAATTATTCTCGATATATATATATATATATATATATATATATATATATATATATATATATATATATATATATATATATATATATATATATATATATATATATATATACATATAGTATATATATACATATACATATAGAATATATATATATATATATATATATATATATATATATATATATATATATATATAGGCCTATATATATATATATATATATATATATATATATATATATATATATATATATATATATATATATATATATATATACTATACTATACTATACATATTTTTAAAAGCTGTAATAGTCTCCGTATTAAATGTCGCCACTTTTTCTCTTTTCTAATCCTTATCTTCGCTAACCTACCCGCCCACCTTTATCAAAACCTAGAATTACCTCCCCCCCCCCCCTCCAATACAGAACGTCCCGTTATGCACCAGTGGGTTTACCTTGCAATCACTCCAGATTTAATCTTAAACCCACGAACCCTCCCCCTCCCCCATACATACACACACACACACCAACCTCCAATTTCTTACACTCAGAACCCCTTCCCCATAGTAATATATCTACAGCTCTTTATACTCCAGGAATCTGAACACAGTCTCAAGACAGGCACACAAACATGCACTAGGACACACGCAAACACGCACACACACACACACACACACCTGAACCTGTCTAAGCTTGAAAAATTCAATAGCGGATCGAAGCCGAACAGAACCAAATCAATTGGGTATCGAAGCGACGGGACGGTGCCTGTATAAGTAAGGCGGGACGTTCCCCCTGGTAAGTCAGTGCCGTCTCCAGGCCCGTCCACGTCCAGGTAAGTTCTAGAACTCTTAGACCCTGGGTCTACAGGACCCTTATGTGTTGTTAATGTTATAGTCAGCTGTTATGTATTTAATGTTATTGTCAGCTGTTATGTATTTAATGTTATAGTCAGTTGTTATGTATTTAATGTTATATTCAGCTGTTATGTGCTTAATGTTATATTCAGCTGTTGTTATGTGTTTAATGTTATAGTCAGCTGTTATGTATTTAATCTTATAGTCAGCTGTTATGTGTTTAATGATATAGTCAGCTGTTATGTATTTAATGTTATAGTCAGCTGTTATGTGTTTAATGTTGTAGTCAGCTGTTATGTATTTAATGTTTTTGTCAGCTCATTAGATAATCACTGGCTATAGGCTTAGTAGCTGTTGGTTTTAGCACCTTAGACTTAGTAGCTGGATGTTTTAACACGTGAAGAAACACCTGCAAACGAGAAATTAGGTTTAAAAAAAAAAATTGCTAGCAGTTCCAATTGCATTATGTTAATATAAGAAAATAAATATAAGGGGGATAACTCTATTAAAAGATTTCTCAATTTTATAATTAGAGACCTTAAAATAACCCTTAGAGGGGAAATAAGAATTACAGCAGGCAATTTTTTTTTTTTTGGAGTAATGTTGCGATTCGGGGCATTAAAAAAAGGCAATAAAAATAGCTGGGGTAGATTTTTCATCAGATTATAATTATTAAAATTAAAAAAAAAATCTAACAAATGTTACGACTTGATTTTTATGTATGTCTTGTATCAAATAATGGGCGAATAAAATGCTTCACGCTGTGTTGAGTCTGTGATATAACCGTATGGGCTGTATACGGTACATGGGCTTTAGGGGCTTGTGTACCGCCAGGGGAGAGAACCCTATCTCGGCCTTTCATCACAAATATAAGCCAGGCCGGCGTGTTTCACCACGTATCATTACAATCAAGGGAAGTTACTCCTCGACCACTCATTCGCGGTTAAGCCCCTTACGTCATGGGCGCCTGTCGAGGGGAAATCACTCTCTCAGTATAAGAATTCAGAGTTCGATAAGTTATGACGCTTAAACAAAGGGAAGTCACTCAACTACATATTAAATAAATGTTTCATGCGTGTAAAATTTATTTGTGTTTATTTTTTATTTATTTTTTGCCGGAATCTTTTCTTGCTTTTTTTCTACAGCTAGTTAGTAGACTAGTGTGGGTGTTATTGATTTGCCGTACACCCCCCCCCCTTATTCATATAGCTGCTATTGTTGTCAAGGGGAGATTTATAGTTGAGATAATAAAAATAGGCCTAGGGCTGGTATAGGGTTTAGATTGACGTTTCGTTATTTGCAGTACCAACTCTGAGGTTTACCATATTGTCTAGATATGAAGTATCGCAAAATTTACCGTTAGTCTTTTTTAAGTGGTGGGGTGTAGGGGGTAGTAATGCGTCGGGGGGTGGGGGTTAAGTCAACAAGGTCTACAGTAACAGTCATATCAACCAAAACACCTATCACGTGTGTGCTGGCCACACCCACTTTTGTACAACAGCGCAGGACTGAGTCAATATTTACATATCAGTTTCAGAGGGTTAACTGGAGTGTCTTGACATGAGGTAGTTGGGCAGAGGATTAACTGGAGTGTCTTGAGGTAGCTGGACAGAGGGTTAACTGGAGTGTCTTGACATGAGGTAGTTGGGCAGAGGGTTAACTGGAGTGTCTTGGGTTAGTTGGGCAGAGGGTTAACTGGAGTGTCTTGACATGAGGTAGCTGGACAGAGGGTTAACTGGAGTGTCTTGACATGAGGTAGTTGGGCAGAGGGTTAACTAGAGTGTCTTGACATGAGTTGGGCAGAGGGTTAACTGGAGTGTCTTGACATGAGGTAGCTGGCCAGAGGGTTAACTGGAGTGTCTTGACGTAGCTGGACAGAGGGTTAACTGGAGTGTCTTGACATGAGGTAGCTGGACAGAGGGTTAACTGGAGTGTCTTGGGGTAGTTGGGCAGAGGGTTAACTGGAGTGTCTTGACATAGCTGGGCAGAGGGTTAACTGGAGTGTCTTGACATGAGGTAGTTGGGCAGAGGGTTAACTGGAGTGTCTTAGGGTAGCTGGGCAGAGGGTTAACTGGAGTGTCTTGAGGTAGCTGGACAGAGGGTTAACTGGAGTGTCTTGACATGAGGTAGTTGGGCAGAGGGTTAACTGGAGTGTCTTGACATGAGGTAGTTGGGCAGAGGGTTAACTGGAGTGTCTTGGGGTAACTGGGCAGAGTGTTAACTGGAGTGTCTTGACATGAGGTAGTTGGGCAGAGGGTTAACTGGAGTGTCTTGGGGTAACTGGGCAGAGTGTTAACTGGAGTGTCTTGACATGAGGTAGTTGGGCAGAGGGTTAACTGGAGTGTCTTGGGGTAACTGGGCAGAGTGTTAACTGGAGTGTCTTGACATGAGGTAGTTGGGCAGAGGGTTAACTGGAGTGTCTTGACATGAGATAGCTGGCAGAGAACTGGAGTGTCTTGACATGAGGTAGTTGGGCAGAGAGTTAAGCTAGCTTAACTAGGGCATAGTTATTATATCATTTGACTAGGGCATCAGAAAATATAAGGAGTGACACTAGGGCAATACATCTAGTGCTACAGGGGCATATGCAGTATATCAAGTGACTCAGACTATATAACAAGAAACACAAAAAGAAGGCAATAGGTCTAACCAGCGATCTGGTTGCCGTTTGGAATGTTAAATTACACAGGATATGCCTGGATCAAACTAGTCGTCAGGTTACACCCTGCAAACATATTCCCCATAATTAACACCCTGCAAATATATTCCACATAATTAACACCCTGCAAATATATTCCACATAATTAACACCCAATATTTTCCCCATAATTAACACCCAATATATTCCACCAAAATTAACACCCAATATAACCCCCACAATGCAACACCTCTAATAATATATGAACACCCTATCAATGTATGCCCCAACATGCAAAGCTCTATTACACTCCACCCCACCCCCCAAAAGTGTGAACTCACGTTAATTACCACGCCTAATCAACACACCTGAACCGTCGCACAACGCGTGTAATTTTAGCAACTGTAATTTGGACATGCACACTCGACTGTTGCTGAAAAGTCACGTGGTCACGTCCTGGTATGTGTACCGAACTTCCGGTTACATGACTACATATTATATATATATATATATATATATATATATATATATATATATATATATATATATATATATATAATCATGTTTGTAAGGTTCTTCAATTGTAAAATACGCAATTTTTAAGTAAAGCGAAGATTAAAATAATTGCATAATTTTTTTACAACAATTAGGCTACATAATTTGTTGAAAACAATTACACATTTTTTTACAAAAATAATTAGACATTTTTTTTCAACAACAATTACCCAATTGTCACGCTTATATGAACCTGCTGATCTAATAGTTATCGATATTTTTTTTTATCGTTTGATCAGTCCTGTTCGATCTATAATTTACTACCTGTCATAGTGTATTGATACTTCAGAAGTATCCTACTGTGTATCGCGCGTCCAATCGATCTATTCGGGTATTCGATTTCTTCAGGATGTTCTGCATAACAGAACACGATTCTTCTTGTGTTTGAGAAATGTGCCTCCACGACTTCTCCTGCACGGGAAATCGATACCTCCAAGTAAAAACAATTGTTTCGAATATCGATTACTTAAACAATTCAAGGTTCCACCGTTGGGATCGTTTTGTTCGTGCTGTTTGCGGGTAGTCGAATACAATGGTCTTTGAATCAGCATGCAAATAAAAAACATGGGTTGGGAAACTTCTGGAATTGGACACGGACTTTTGTTTGTGGTACATTCAACGAATGTTGGTTGGATGATGCGTCCATGTTGGTTGGATGATGCATCCAATTTGATTACGTGCCGCTGGGAGTGGTTGGGTTAGAGTTAGAATTTTTAAACCCCCGGTTAGGTTACTTGTGGTGGCTATGTGGCTAATTGAGGCGTGTCTCCGATGTGTTGATGCCATTAGCGTTATCGAGATAACTGTGAAGTCAGCGCTGTACAGAGGGAGTAGAGTTGCTGGGGGAAGCGGCTTAAAAGAGACGAACATTTTTTTTTCTCCTTAAAATATGTTGAGTACTGATTTTAGCTCAGATGCTGAGTAATTATAATGGTTATCTGGGAAATATTGAAGCGGTCGATATTCGAACGAAAAACACACTGTTATATAAGTTGACGCTTTACCGTTTGACCAAATCATACCGGAGTAGCACCTTAACATAACCCCACCATTCTACATTAGCACCATAACATTACAACACCATTCAACATTAGCACCATAACATTACAACACCATTCAACATCAGCACCTTAACATTACAACACCATTCTACATTAGCACCATTACATTACAACACCATTCAACATTAGCACCATAACATTACAACACCATTCAAAATTAGAACCAATACATTACAACACCATTCTACATTAGCACCATAACATTAAACACCATTCAACATTAGCACCATAACATTACAACACCATTCAACATTAGAACCATAACATTACAATACCATTCAACATTAGAACCATAACATTACAACACCATTCAACATTAGAACCATAACATAAACACATCATTCAACAATAGCACCATTGTAGATCTATCACGTAGGCACCATAATGTGATTACAAGAAACATAAACCATACTCACTACACCACATATAAACTTAGCACTATGATGTGATAGCTTGATATAAGACTAGCACCAGGAGAAATTAACACCTGAATATAGCGACATCAATGCAGATTATCTATATACAATTAGCACCATGATGTGACTATATTTCATAAGAACAGCAGCATAAAAAATAGCACTTGTCAATGACTTATTCATCACTCAAAAAAAAAAAACCTTCAATTCACGTAACCATGAATGAAACCTTTTAAAAATGAAGCCACTCGTCTTGAAAATTGACTTCAGAGCCAGACTTAACGGTTTGACGGAGCGAATCTATGACTTTACGTATCGCAATCGTTCAGGGTTTCAATTCAAAGACTCCAATCAAAGCTATTTTCTAGAGTGTTATCTAAAAACCTTTAATGAACTTAATTGAAAAATAGAATTAGGCCAAATCAGAGTTCCGATGTTATGCTGACTTCAGGGTCTATAGAGTCTTGTAATCATTCACTGAGAATGCCGGATATTTTAAGTGCCGGGTCAATTAAAAACTCGAAACAAAAAAAAAGATCTGAAAAGTTAAAAGCAAGAACAAATAAAATTTTGATGTGTTTTTACGCTTATAAATTAAAGGTGTGATGTCAAACATAAACTTCCTTTTACGATTAACCTTTGATGAATGCAAGAATTTTCAATGAATGCCAGAATTTCCATTCAAGTTTTACTTTCCGTTAATTGAACCCAGATGGGTATCTTCTAGTGAATCACAGAGTAACGGTAGAGGCGACATTTTTTTTTAACCACAGCAATTAGCGGCTGCTGAGTTTTAGAAAACAGAGGGCCGGATGTCTTTGGTGTTTTGTGGGTTTTATGAACTAATTAAAATTGGCACCTGCGTTAATTATAACGGTAATGTCGAGTTATTGAGTCACAAAATTCTCCCCCCCCCCCCCTCGCTCTCTAATGTAAATACCGATATATATATATATATATATATATATATATATATATATATATATATATATATATATATATATATATATATATATATATATATATATATATATATTACCCGATGACATTTTCCAAAGGGGGTACCATCAAATGAAAGTTGTTTTTTTTCCAGTCTCACTGTTTATTAAAAGTTAAGTACATCATAAGACGCGGGGTGACAACAAATTGCCTCTTGTTTTAGTGTATCAGTCTTTGACGGGTGTATAATACATGGGTACATATTCTACTATACGAACATACATGAATAAATATTACATCAAGGTATATATATATATATATATATATATATATATATATATATATATATATATATATATATATATATATATATATTCAACAATTTTTTCAGGCTAATATCCTGGCGTGGAGTGGGGGACCTGATGTCATATGTCATATATCATGTTTAGACGCTCTATGTGACTGTCCTGCCATCATGCTGTACGCGTATTGACCAGTGGCCGACCATCATGCTGCATGTGTCTGACCAGTCACTGAGCACCTCGGTACGTAGCTGAGCACCAACTTGCTCACACAGCCCGTATTCTGTAGCTGACCAACATCTTGGTCTGGACAGAGGGTGCTGACCTTGGTTCTACATCACGGTACTAGCAGAAATACATGACCGTATACGACTGTTCTACATACCTCATCTAGGTTCTACATCACGGTACTAGCAGAAATACATGGCCGTATACTACTGTTCTACATACCTCACCTAGGTTCTACATCACGGTACTAGCAGAAATACCTGGCCGTATACGACTGTTCTACATACCTCACCTAGGTTCTACATCACGGTACTAGCAGAAATACATGACCGTATACGACTGTTCTACATACCTCACCTAGGTTCTACATCACGGTACTAGCAGAAATACCTGGCCGTATACGACTGTTCTACATACCTCACCTAGGTTCTACATCACGGTACTAGCAGAAATACATGGCGGTATACGACTGTTCTACATACCTCACCTAGGTTCTACATCACGGTACTAGCAGAAATACATGACCGTATACGACTGTTCTACATACCTCACCTAGGTTCTACATCACGGTACTAGCAGAAATACATGACCGTATAGGAATGGTCTATATACCTCTCCTGAAAGATAGACGCCAATACCAGTGTTATCCAGACAATGGATAGTGGATACGACCCATACTCCTGAAGCCTGTCTGTCGAAGGACAATTCGCTGTAACTTATTCAAGAGAAAGATCAACACAAATTTCATTTTGTTATTTATGTATTATATGTAAATCATGCTGTTGTATACTTCAAGTGGTAATTTGATAAAACATTTTTTTTTTGAACCAGCGGACATTTTCAAAATTTAATCCTAACAGAAAGATAATCTATTGCAGCAAGAACATACTTCAACTATGGGAAGAACATACTTGAAGTATAGGTGACATTAAAGTGACACGATCTGGAAGAAAAGAACATTTTACAATCCATAAAATTGAAATAAGTTTTCCGATTCCGAAAAGGGCACTGTTCCTAAAACACCACAATTCGTTTGTTTTCTTAAAATCATTTTAAAATTTTGTCACATATTTATTATTTTTGTTATCTTTAAAATGCTAACGATGCATTCCTATGTAAATAGTATTTTTTTAGTATTTATTCTAATATATTCTTAAATATTTATTCTAATTATACATTTTCAATTAATGTATAAGTCCTTATCGATTCCGTCCACGATAATCGATTACTTATATTGTATCGAAGTGTGTGTTATTTATTAAACAAAAAAAGTTGAATGAAAGATTTGTAATGACAAGTGTCAATCCAAAATATATTGGAGGGAAAGAAAGGAAGAGAGAGAGAGAGAGAGAGAGAGAGAGAGAGAGAGAGAGAGAGAAAGGGAAGATTTGTGGGAGTAAGAAAGAAAGAAAAATGAAAAAAAGGTAAAAAATGGAGGAGAAAAAGAAACGAAAGTAGAAAAAAAAATTGACTAAAAAAAGAATTAAAATAAAAAGTTGAAAATTGAGAGAAAAAAAATATTTTATTCTAATACGTGTGAAGTTGTCGAGTGCATTAAACAATTTTGTGACTTAAGTCATAAGAGGAAAATTATGCAGTCATCAGAGCTAAACCTGTGATCTTTTACCCAAGGCAGCATAAGCCTTTATAGGGGGCAGAACATGCCTTGTATATTCAGGGGCACATTTGCCCTGATTAGCCAGTAGGGCAGTATAAGCCTATGTTATTTGTAGGGCAGAATATGCCTTGTATAGTCAGGGGCACATATGCCATATATAGCCAGTAATGCAGCATCTACCTTTATAAGGGGCATGATATGCCGTGTATAGTCAGGGGCACATTTGCCATATATAGTCAGTAGGGCAGTATATGTCTGTCATTTGTAGGGCAGAATGTGCCTTGTATAACCAGTGCCAGTATATGCCTATATACCACGTAAAACAGAACATGTTTTATACAGCCGAGAGGGCAGTATAAGCCTTGAATAGCCAGTAGCCAGGCATTATAACCCTACATAGGCAGCTATAACCTAAAATAGCCGGTAGTCCGGAATTTTCCGTTAAAGCTGGTAACAGTATTTCCTATATAAACTGTTGAGTAGCTGACACACTACACATACACACACACACACTACACACACACACACAGAGAAATAACAATATGTAAATATTTCCAAGCATACCTTTTAATTCAAATGAAATTTATATTTTGAAAATTTTATTAAAACTGAAATAAAAAAAAACGATTTAAATAAAGCAACGTGTTTCTGTTTTTTTTTACTTCATTGTGTTCAGAAGATGAGGCGCTGTTGCTTAAGTCTGTGCCGGTGAGGGGCAGAGTGGTTGAATGGTAGAGCTAACGACTGCTGACCTGAAAGTCTCAAGTTCAAATCTCGGGCTCGAGTCTGTAGGATTAGAGTCCACCCAGCTCTAATGGGTACCTGACTCCTGTTAGGGAAAGTAAGTTGGTTGGGCATAGTCTTGACCACCATCTTGAAGGAGATGAGCTCTACTGCACCTGTCCCATATGTCTTGGGAACGTAAAAATGATGATGATGAGGTGAACGGCTCTGTTTTATCTAAATCCTTAGAGTATGACACGCCTACACCATCTACATACCAACACCATGACACGCCTACACCATCTACATACCAACACCATGACACGCCTACACCATCTACACCCCAACACCATGACACGCCTACACCATCTACACCCCAACACCATGACACGCCTACACCATCTACATACCAACACCATGACACGCCTACACCATCTACATACCAACACCATGACACCTCTACACCATCTACATACCAACACCATGACACCTCTACACCATCTACATACCAACACCATGACACCTCTACACCATCTACATACCAACACCATGACACGCCTACACCATCTACACCCCAACATCATGACACGCCTACACCATCTACATACCAACACCATGACACGCCTACACCATCTACACCCCAACATCATGACACGCCTACACCATCTACATACCAACACCATGACACGCCTACACCATCTACACCCCAACATCATGACACGCCTACACCAGCTACATACCAACACCACGACACGCCTACACCATCTACATACCAACACCATGACACGCCTACACCATCTACATACCAACATCATGACACGCCTACACCATCTACATACCAACATCATGACACCCCTACACCATCATGACACCCCTACACCACCTAAATCCCAACCGCTCCCCCCCCTCCTCCCGTGGTTTACACCTCATACATAACTAACGTTAACGATACCATTTCATTGATATTTTAGCCAGGCCCGATTGATTTTAATAATTAACATCGAGACCATCAAGACGATACTTTTACTGCTCGTTACCAAAAGGATATTCTAAACGTTCTGATACCATCACGACGATACCACAACAGATCGATTACTAAGATACCTAAAGTATCGTTTTATGAAGATTAATATATCGATACCATCGAAAAGGCAACCAGCGTAAAAGTTCCAATTACTCTAGGACAGGGGTCTCCAAACTTTTCAGCCCGAGGGCCGCATTAACTATCAAATATCAGTTCGGGGGCCAGAGTTTCTTCCATGCATCTCTTTGGGGTAACGGTATCCCCGTACCCCCCCCCCCCCACCCAACGAAATGTAATTTATATAGAAATATATACACATTTTAAATGCACCCCCCTACCCTGGAGAAAAAGTCTGAAAGAAACATTGTCGGGGGCCAACAACACACTCGAGGTCCAAGTATGTTCTTGGGCAAACACAAAAACCCACCCGCCATTTTTTGAACTTGTCTCTAATGAGGTCATTTGCTTGCTATTCAATTACCTCCATCTGCAGTTCATCTGTAAGTAAGTAAGTAAGAAACTGCAGCTGGAGGTCTTGTTAGCAGTTTCCACTACTTGAGTCACAATGTTTTCATCCATGTCAGCAACACGGAGGGCAATGGTATTAGCACCCAAAGCTTCATATTCAAATTGTTTTGTATTTTCTGGGCAAAGCTCCTCAGCCATTTCTAACAAACATTTTTTTCCGTGAACAAAAAGATCTCCGCGGGCCGGATAAGGGGACCTCGTGGTCCGGCCCAGCGGGCCGTAGTTTGGAGACCCCTGCTCTAGGACATAAACATTTGCCAAGATAGGATTATTTTAATTTAGGTGGACCCGTGGCTTATGTTGATTCGTCTGTTGGTTAATCTGATACTGTATGGTCGGGTATTTCATTAAAAACAATGGCGTTAATGAAGAGGTGATGGGGGGTGTGTGTGTGGGGGGGGGGGGGGGGGGGGGGGTGCATCACCTGATATCATGGTTTAGCATTACAATAAAACTTAACCATCAGAAGTTGTACAACACAACAAGAGCACAGTTTTAATGAAACTTAATCTTGTTTAATTGAGCTCTAAGTTTTCCCGATAGTCACCATGACACACATGAAGAAGATTTCATTTGATTTCTGTACCGTTATGTAGCCTACACCACCCCTAAGATACCCAAATCTCTGTACCGTTATGTAGCCTACCCCACCCCACCCCTAAGATACCCAAATCTCTGTACCGTTATGTAGCCTACACCACCCCTAAGATACCCAAATCTCTGTACCGTTATGTAGCCTACACCACCCCTAAGATACCCAAATCTCTGTACAGTTATGTAGCCTACACCACCCCTAAGATACCCAAATCTCTGTACAGTTATGTAGCCTACCCCACCCCACCCCTAAGATACCCAAATCTCTGTACCGTTATGTAGCCTACACCACCCCACCCCTAAGATACCCAAATCTCTGTACCGTTATGTAGCCTACACCACCCCACCCCTAAGATACCCAAATCTCTGTACCGTTATGTAGCCTACACCACCCCTAAGATACCCAAATCTCTGTACCGTTATGTAGCCTACACCACCCCTAAGATACCCAAATCTCTGTACCGTTATGTAGCCTACACCACCCCTAAGATACCCAAATCTCTGTACCGTTATGTAGCCTACACCACCCCTAAGATACCCAAATCTCTGTACCGTTATGTAGCCTACACCACCCCTAAGATACACAAATCTCTGTACCGTCATGTAGCCTACACCACCCCTAAGATACCCAAATCTCTGTACCGTTATGTAGCCTACACCACCCCACCCCTAAGATACCCAAATCTCTGTACCGTTATGTAGCCTACACCACCCCTAAGATACCCAAATCTCTGTACCGTTATGTAGCCTACACCACCCCTAAGATACCCAAATCTCTGTACCGTTATGTAGCCTACACCACCCCTAAGATACCCAAATCTCTGTACCGTTATGTAGCCTACACCACCCCTAAGATACCCAAATCTCTGTACCGTTATGTAGCCTACACCACCCCACCCTTAAGATACCCAAATCTATATACCGTTATGTAGCCTACACCACCCCACCCCTAAGATACCCAAATCTCTGTACCGTCATGTAGACTACACCACCCCTAAGATACCCAAATCTCTGTACCGTCATGTAGCCTACACCACCCCACCCCTAAGATACCCAAATCTCTGTACCGTTATGTAGCCTACACCACCCCTAAGATACCCAAATCTCTGTACCGTTATGTAGCCTACACCACCCCACCCCTAAGATACCCAAATCTCTGTACCGTTATGTAGCCTACACCACCCCTAAGATACCCAAATCTCTGTACCGTTATGTAGCCTACACCACCCCTAAGATACCCAAATCTCTGTACCGTTATGTAGCCTACACCACCCCTAAGATACCCAAATCTCTGTACCGTTATGTAGCCTACACCACCCCTAAGATACCCAAATCTCTGTACCGTTATGTAGACTACACCACCCCTAAGATACCCAAATCTCTGTACCGTTATGTAGCCTACACCACACCACCCCTAAGATACCCAAATCTCTGTACAGTTATGTAGCCTACACCACCCCACCCCTAAGATACCCAAATCTCTGTACCGTTATGTAGCCTACCCCACCCCACCCCTAAGATACCCAAATCTCTGTACCGTTATGTAGCCTACACCACACCACCCTAAGATACCCAAATCTCTGTACCGTTATGTAGCCTACACCACCCCACCCCTAAGATACCCAAATCTCTGTACCGTTATGTAGCCTACACCACCCCACCCTTATGTAGCCTACACCACCCCACCCTTATGTAGCCTACACCACCCCACCCTTATGTAGCCTACACCACCCCTAAGATACCCAAAACCGGGGATTCGCTTGACCGACCCTACACAGTTGCGCCCCCCGAAGATGTACATTTTGTACGGGGAGGGGGGGGGTGAAGATGTCAGTACACAGTGGATGGGAGTGTGCTGGAGGAGGCCGTTGTTGGATGTTGGATCTCACCTGTGTTGGATGCTGGATCTCAACTGTTTTGTTGGATACGTCGCAGGCAGTAAGAGCAATTTTTTTTTTACTGTAGCTTAATTTATCTTTACCGACTAATTTTGTATCGTTACTTATGTTTATATTAAAGACCACATTTGTA